CAGAATGAAGACAAAGGATTTGATGTTCCACACACACAGAAATGACCCTGCAGATCCCTAGCTGCTGTAGGAGACGTTGAGGAGCTAGAACTGCTTCTCTTATGATTTGACACAAACATTGTTTATAGGGACTCAACAATGCTACAGTGTCCTGTGCATGAGGATAAACATCACATGCTGATTAAAATGATTATAAATTTGGTATGATTGTATAAGTACTCATGGCACAGTATTTGAGAACCTAAGCCTTTGAAATCGAGTGTTCAGACACTTTACCCATGTGTGGTTTGGATCTGGAGTGTCTCTCAAGGTTTCCTGTGCTGGAGGCTGGTACTCATAGGAGCAGGGTTCACAGGGAACATGCGAGCCTTCATCATCCTCAAGGAACAAACTGTATCAGTGAAAGCCTGCTGATTGTTGGAGATGAGTGGACTACTAGGTAGTGAGGCTTTGCTGGAGGAAGGTTGGGGGCTCCATCTAAGGACACACTTCGTCCCTGTCTGCATCTTGGCCACCATGAAGTGAATGACTTGTGAGTCCCATTGTCTTCCTACTATGCAGTGGACCCAAATATCCATGTAGTTAACGTTCAAACTTGTGAGACAAAATAAGTGAAAATTAACCTTTGACATTTTTAATAGCTTCTCAATCTTGTGTATGTGAGTGTGTGTCTATGCAAGTATTTGTGTGTGACTATACATGTGTATCTGTTTGAGTGTGTGTGCATGTGTGTCTGTGTGTATGTATTGTGTTTGTGTATATATGTGAGAAAGTATGTATGCTAATGTGTGTGTAAGGATATGCATGTGTGATTCTGTGTTAGGTTGTGTATGTTGTATATATGGGTGTAATGTGTGATTGTGCATATGTGTGCTTATACAAATGTGTGTGTGTATGTGGAAATTTGTGCATGTGTGTGAGTGTTTATACTTGTATGGGTTGGGATGTGTACATTGGTGTGTGCTTGTGTGTTTTCATGTATAGCTGTGTATGTATATGTGTTGAAAATCTGTATTAAGTGTGAGAATATGTGTATGTGTGTGTCTGTGGGCATGTGTGTGTGAGTCTGTTTATGTGTGCATATTGTGGGAATATGTGTATATGTGTGCATGTGTTTGTCCATCTGTGAGTTTGTATATGCGTGGATATTTTTGTGTTGGTGTATGTATGTGCATAATTGTGTGATGGTGTATCAATGCTCTCCTCTGTCTGTGAGTATGTATCTGTGTTTGATGGTATGTGTGTGAGTGTGTATTTCTGTGTTAGTGTGTATTTGTGTCATGGTTGTCATTTGGGGGGCTCTGTGTGTACCTGCATACACTGAGTGTGTGTTTGCAGGCACAAGGTTGTCAAATTGTGAATGAAGTGATTAGAGCCCACCTTATAAGAGTCAGATTCTTTATTTCAGCAATGGGTTCTAGGAATAAAATACAGCTCATCAAGCGTGAAGAGCAAGTCTTCACTCACTGAGACCTGATGATGGCATGACAATCATTGGATGAATAACTAAGATACACTGTTAATTCAATTAACATTTGATATAAATTAATAGTAGAATTAATGAATGCAATTTGAAGAAAATAAGTTTTAGTCTATAAACATTAGAAAACTTTAAAGTATACCATTGCATCAATACTTTAACTTAGGAACACATTTTGCATCATACCATACATTATGACAAATATTGATTTAAATGATAGAAATAAAAAATATAAAATGAATTACAATAACTTTCAAATACAATTTTTAGAGAAATATTTTGACTTTACAATACATGTGTACATTTCAAAAAAAGGATGTCTACTGTGGAGTAATAGTTAATGATAATTCTATTTAGAAAAAAAACTGTAAAACAGCTTTCTGAAGGCATCAGTGAAAGAGGAAGCAAAGATGAAAACCAAAATGGCTTAAAAAAATTCCCAAAAGCAATCAGAGAATAAGTTAAAGAAAGTGAAAAAACAATTGGGAAATAAGGGGAGGGCATTCAGAAAATGGCAAGTGGTGTTTTCCCCTATATAAGACAGATGCACACAGCATTGTCTTCAGAGACTCTAAAGAGCAAGGTTCATGACCACAGAGCCCAGAAGACCAGCAGCATCTGCAACATTCGCAATGGCCAGGCCCTGTGTTTTCCTGATGATCCTGGTGGTGATGCACTACTGGTCAAGCTGCTGTCTGGGATGTGACCTGCCTCAGACTCATCACCTCAGGAACAAGAGAGCCTTCACACTCCTGGCACAAATGAGGAGACTCTCCCCTCTCTCCTGCCTGAAGGACAGAATGGACTTTGCATTCCCTTTGGAGAAGGTGGATGCCCAGCAGATCCAAAAGGCTCAAGTCATCCAGTTCCTGGGTGAGATGATCCAACAGGTCCTGATCCTCTTCACCTCCAATGAATCATCTGCTGCTTGGGAGACAACCCTCCTAAACACCCTCTGCGATGAGCTCTACCAGCTGCTCAATGACCTGCAAGACTGTGTGATGGAGCAGGTGGAGGTGCAGGAACCTTCCTTGAGCCAGGAAGACTCCCCTTTGGCTGTGAGAAACTACTTCCACAGGATCACTGTCTACCTGAAGGAGAAGAAACACAGCCCCTGTGCCTGGGAGGTGGTCAGAGCAGAAGTCTGGAGAGCCCTGTCTTCCTCAGCCAACCTGCTGGCAGGATTGACTGAGGAGAAGAAGTAAGTCCCCAAGGGGTGAGAACTCTCCTGGGCTACAACACTGCATAAATTATCCTTTAAAGACTCATTTATTTTAACATGAATTCAATCAACCTACCTAGATGTTTCAGCAAAACAGCATGATTTTTATCTATATGTAAGGGCATTCGTGTCTGCATCCATTTGGGTATCTCTGTGTATT